GCCAGAAAACCGCCCACAGCCTCCAGCTATCTTTTTATAGAATCCCCTCCAGCATCACCTTTGGCTCTCTTCGGTAAAAGGGTTCTTTCTTCTAAGCATGGAGGTGCTTTGGGATCCTCTCAGAACCACGGGAGTGAAAGAGAATTTTGTAGAGCAGTTCAAAAGGAAAGGGGTCAAACACAGTGCAAACACACTTACGATTTTGATTTCATTTTGTGTAAATTTTGACTTAAAAATAAACGGAAAAAATTAAAAGAGAGGAAGGAGTAAAGGGAAGCAAGCAAGTCAAGAAAGGAAGCTGCGGACAGAGCCAGGGAAATCCCCAGAAGGCGTTCTCTGTGGGAGCAGGGCTTTCTCTCTTTCTCTCCCTGGCTCTTTGTTTGGCCTGTGCATCCCCTAACTCCAACCCTTCCGCAGGGATGCAGAGATGGTGACAGGAAACACGGAGTTTCCACTGGAGCTTAGAATGTGAGGACCATACTGACATCTTGCAGTAGCCTACAGAAATGTAAATTTGGTTCTCATGCAGAACACTTCTCAGATACTATTATTGTTTGTCCCTCCAAACAAACTACACACATAATTGGGAGGACACGACAGTGTTCTTGATGTTATGATTGGCTCTTTGATTTTCACTTTAAATTAAACTAAGGTATATTGTATAACTACTCTACCAGGCACCACACAAGTCCTTTTTATGCACATTATCTTATTTTCACTCACAGAATTATCATCTTCCTTTTTGTAAATTAAGATACTGAGTCCAGGGACGCCTGGGTGGCTCAGTTGGTTGGGCAGCTGCCTTCGGCTCAGGTCATGATCCCAGCGTCCTGGGATCGAGTCCCGCATCGGGCTCCTTGCTCTGCGGGGAGCCTGCTTCTCCCTCTGCCTCTGCCTGCCATTCTGTCTGCCTGTGCTCGCTCTCTCTCCCTCTCTCTGACAAATAAATAAAATCTTTAAAAAAAAAAAAAAAAAAAAAAAGATACTGAGTCCAGTGGGGCGCCTGGGTGGCTCAGTGGGTTAAGCCTCTGCCTTCGGCTCAGGTCATGATCTCAGGGTCCTGGGATCGAGCCCCACATCAGGCTCTCTGCTCGGTGGGGAGCCTGCTTCCCCCTCTCTCTCTGCCTGCCTCTCTGCCTACTTGTGATCTCTGTCAAATAAATAAATAAATAAATCTTAAAAAATATATATATACTGAGTCCAGAGTGAAAAGGTAACTGGAAAGTCTTGCAAACTATAAAGTAACTTTTTACAAGAATCTGAAGTTAAGCACATGTTTTCCTTTTTTTTTTTTAAATTTATTTATTTGACAGACAGAGATCACAAGTAGGCAGAGAGGCAGGCAGAGAGAGAGGGGGAAGCAGGCCCCTTGATGAGCAGAGAGCCTGATGAGGGGCTCGATCCCAGGACCCTGAGATCATGACCTGAGCCAAAGGCAAAGACTTAACCCACTGAGCCACCCAGGTGCCCCTTAAGCACATGTTTTAACATCAAAGCCAAAATTCCTTTTGTCCCATCATGCTGCCCAGTTTATACTTTGGGACTTGCAAGGTTTTTGTTTTGTTTTGTTTTGTTTTTGGAGGAGGTTGGGAAGGGACAGAGGGAGAGGGAGAGAGAATCTTAACCAGGTTCCCACCTGAACCGACCTGATGTGGGGCTTGATCTTACCACCCTGAGAGCACAACCTGAGATGAAATCAAGAGTTTGATGCTTAATCAACCGAGCCACCCAGATGCCCCAGGACTTGGAAGTTTTTGCGAGGATTTATGAACAGTCATCAAATCAGTATGTGTAATTATAATTTCTAAACAAACTCAATCAAATTATGTAATGAATTATCAAATGACTTCTTTTTCCCTTTTTTTTTTTTTTTTAGTCAAAGAAGAGATTAATGGCTCTGTCTTTTGGAGAGGCAAAGAGCCCAGAAATTTGAATGAATCCTCTCTCAGGTGAGATTTTGTTTGGAGTATGTTTTTAACTTGCTGACCAAAACTTATCTTTTTGCTCATTTTAATGTTTTTTCTCTACTAATGGTTTTGGACTGAGTTTTGTTTATTTCATATATATAATAATGAAGAAGATAGTTTGGGAGTTCTTCTAAATTCAAATCCGGTTAGTTTAAATAGTGAAATATAATATTTCTCATATCAATGGAATATATAGATTTCACAATGTAACTAAATAATTAAAGTTAAATTAAAAAAAAACATTTTCTAAGCTCTTGTTCTGTGTAGGACACTATGTTAGGCCCTGTAAAAAAACAAACAAACAAAAAAGATGAGTAAGGCATAGTTCCTGTCCTTGGGAAGCTGATTCTAACTAGAATATGTGACATTTGCCCAAACATAGATAATACAGAGTACACATGCTAAGTGTCATCAGTGAGTTTGAGCGAATTGCCAAAGAGCTTTGAAGAGGGGAAAGGTTATATTCAGTTTTTGGGGGGAAGTCAAGATGTCAGAGTGACAGTTGAAGAAAAAATAGTGCACATGAAGATGGAGATATTGCAGCTGGAAGTGATAATAAAATCTAAGAGGCAGGAAAAAAATGGAGCATGTATCCGGAAAGGGAAGCAGTCTGCAGTGATACAGAAATACAACGGGGGGGGCGGGGGTGCCTGGCTGGCTCCATCAGCAAAGCATGCAACTCTGGATTTCAGTTGTGAGTTCAAGCCCATTTTGGGCACTGAGCTTACATAAAATAAAATAAAATAAAATAAAAAGTAAAAAAAAAATTAAAATTAAAATAGAACACGAATACCATGAATAAGGTTAGAAAGTAAAACTAGGCCCATAATTGAGAGAATCTTAAAGTCCAGCTCAAGACTTTGTATGCCCTTTCTTAGGTTGTAAGGAAACTATTGATAAAATAACTAGTTGTGCTTCAAATGGACTAAAGCAAGGAGAAACCAGATTGGTGGGAAGTAATGATAATCTGCATTGGTCTAGTGGCAAAGGGAGTAAAGAAAAAGGGATGATGGGGCACCCGGGTGGCTCAGTGGGTTAAGCCTCTGCCTTTGGCTCAGGTCATGATCTCAGGGTCCTGGGATCGAGCCCTGCATCAGGCTCTCCACTCAGCGGGGAGCCTGCTTCCCCCACTCCTTCTGCCTGCCTCTGCCTACTTGGGATCGACCTCTGTCAAACAAACAAATAAATATTTAAAAAAAAAGAAAAAAAGAAAAAGGGATGGACGGAGAGATATTTCAGAAGCAAACTCTGCAAGACTGGCAACTGAACACGAGAGAGATGGGAGAGAAACCACTGTAGTTTCAAGCTGGGGTTACTGCAAGGGGTTGCCTTTCAGAGAAATAAGGATGGCAGGAGGGGTGCAAACCCAAGGCTGGTTTAGACAGGTTAAGACTGAGGTCCTAGGGTGCCTGGGTGGCTCAGTTGGTTGAGCCTCTGCCTTTGGCTCAGGTCATGATCTCAGGGTCCTGGTGTCGAAGCCCACATTGGGCTCCTTGCTGAGTGGGGAGCCCATTTCTCCCCTACCTGCCATTCCCCCTGCTTGTGCTTGCTCTCTCCCCTTCTCTCTTTAAAAAAAAAAAAGACTGAGGTATTAGTAGGCCTCAGGTGGTGCGGTTCAGTTCATTGAGAAATTAACCTTTCAGTCTGGTAGGCAGGAGAGAAGTCTGGGTGTAAACTTAAAAAGGAGTTTCCTGGGGTTCCCGGCTGGCTCAGTCAGTAGAACATGCAGCTCTTGATCTTGGGGTCATGACTTCATGCCCCAGGTGGGGCATAGAGGTTATTTTAAAGAAAAAAAATTTAAAAATCAATAAATAAGGGTTGCCTGGGTGGCTCAGCCGGTTAAGCATCTGCCTTCAGCTCAGGTCATGGTCTCAGGCTCCTGGGATTGAGTCCTGCATTGGGCTCCCTGCTCAGCCAGAGCCTGCTTCTCCCTCTCCCTCTGCTGCTCCCCCTGCTTGTGGGCTCTCTCTCTCTGTCAAATAAATAAATAAAATCTTTTTAAAAAAAACCTAAAAATTAAAAAAAAAAAATGATCTGTGTGTTCCTGTCAGTGTTCACAAGGGTTCAGAGGTTCTGATTATAATTGCAGCTGTAACATCAGGAAACTTAACTAGCTAAAACAGGATTGATCAGTAAGTGTTCTATTTTGCATTGCAAACCGTAGCTCAGAAAGCACTCTGAGACCCCTTTGTAATGCTGGGCGTGGGGGAGGGACCACCAGCCTGCACCACTGAATTCCCTCACCAGGGTTTCTCAGCAGGGTGCTATTGGCATTCTGTGTGGGAGCACTTATTGTCATGAAACAACTCCCGCCCATTGTGGGACCAGAGCATCCCTGGCTCTTGTCCACGAAATTCCTGTAACACTCCTCATTTTATTAGGCAATGAAAAACCCACCAGCACACATTTCTACCAAACCGCCCCTGCTAATTCCATCTGTCAACAAAAGTTTCCTTGCATTTCCTGGGGCCCGGTGCGCTCTCTCCCCTCTCTCTGCAATCCTCTCTCACCTTTCCTAGTAGTATCCCTATCCCTTGCTCTCCCTAGTGTGATAACGTAATGATATGAATTTAAAACTGTTCCCACTTTAGTGGGATTTCCATTTTAATAGGAAACCAAGCCAGAAGCTCAAGGAAAGAAGTTCTTAGTAGAATTTTGTCTTGTTGAGGTAAAATTGACATACAGTAGGGACGTCTGGGTGGCTCAGTCGGTGAAGCATCTGCCTTAGGCTCAGGTCATGATCCCACGGCCCTGGATCAAGCCCCACATTGGGCTCCTTGCTCAGCAGGGACCCTGCTCCTCCCTCTTCTTCTGCCCATCCCTGTGTTCTCTCTCTTTCTCAAATAAATAAAATCTTAAAAAACAAAACAAAAACAGACACACAGTAAACTGCAATAAAACATACAGTTTGATACATTTTCTCCGACGTGTACCCCCCACAAAAGCATCACCATTATCAACAACTCTCCCTCCCTGCATTATGTCCTAGAAATTTTTTTAAGACAGTAAGCTGGGGCAGTTGCTAGGTCTCACCTTGTTTGTTTCCCACCTCTTGGAGATGATTGTCTTACGTTGTCCAACGCCTGGTGTCTTAAAAGCGGTTTTTATTTTTTTTTAATGTACGTTTTCCCAGTTTTTGTTTTTTTCAGGTGAGAGTACATATTTAGTTCCTATTACTTCATCCTGGCCTGAATCAGAAAAAAAAAAAAAAATTAGTAGAAATTTAATCTCAGCACTAGTATATATGGAGGAGGATTTGGATCCTTCCTGGAGCCAGTGATAGTTCCAGAATTTTCATAAAAGAGATTCCATTAAAAAGGGCAGCAAAGGCGGGCTGGTGGTGATTAGGAAACTCTTTTTCCTTTGGTAGGCACAGACCAGCTGTTTGTGCAGTATATGTATTTTTTTTTAAGATTTTTTAATTTATTTGACAGACAGAGAGGCACCAGTAGGCAGAGAGGCAGGCAGAGAGAGAGGGGGGGAAGCAGGCTCCCCGCCAAGGCAGAGAGCCCAATTCGGGACTCAATCCCAGGACCCTGGGATCATGACCTGAGCCGAAGGCAGCGGCTTAACCTACTGAGCCACCCAGGCACCCAGTATATGCATTTCTTTTTGGTGGCTTGCTAAGGGTGGGAAACTACTGAAAACCTGACGGAATGAGGGGCAGAAAGCCAGCCCACTCTCCCCTTAGCCTCTGCCTTTGGGAGCCTGCTGTTTGAGGCCAATTCAATTCACTGGCTCCAGTTCTAGACTACCATAATGAGGGCCCTGTGACGTGCAGAAGAACCCCAACTATGCCTATGCATAGGATAGCTATTCTGCCTTTTACAAGACAACAGAACCATACATTTTTGGGAAACTTTCTCAACAAAGTTAAATATCCCAAACAAGGTTAGTAAGAGTTAGTTAGTTAGTCTGTTCAATAGCAGAGCTCATTTCATCAAGCCGCTGGAGGTTAGATTGTCTACAGGGCCTGAACCTGCTTGTCAGGAAGCCAAAATCTGAGACGCTCATTGTTGCTTCCTAAAGAGTCATTCCTGCTTTGAGATGAGTACACAGGCTTGGCCATGTGAGGATGTGAGGAGACAGCCCAAAGCAGGGTTTGGGAATAAAGGTCAGCTGGAAAAACACCACAAATCCAGACATTTTTCAAGTCTGGCCTCGTGCCAGAATCTCTCAAGGGTTCATAAAGTTCAGACTTCTGGGCTTCAGACTACTGAATCCTAAGCTTTGGGGCTGGGACTCAACAGTCATTTTTGGTAGCTCCCTACTGTTAGCTAGCTACCAAGGTTCAGGAAATCTTGGGTTAAGTAATCAATCGACTCCCGGATAACTGAGATTCCTGAGTTTTACAATCGTAATGTATCTATAATCCATCAACTGCTCTCTGTTTTCACAGTCCTCCAGGGTAAGCAACTGTCCTCTCTCACCTGGGTTTGCTTCTCCACTCTTGGTCTCTGCTGTGGTTAGAATGTTTATGTCCCTCCCAAATTCCTATGCTAAAATCTGAACCCCCAAAGTTGACAGTAATGGGAGGTGAGCTTCATGACTTGAGGGTGGAGGCTTCATGACTTGAGGGTGGAGGCTTCATGACATGAGATTAGTGCTCTACGAGAAAAGGCTCCAAAGAGCTGACTAGCTCCTTCCACGGTGAAAAGGCACAGCAGGAAGGAACCGACTGGGAACCAGGAAGAGGGTCCTCACCATAAGGCGACCACACCAAGCACCCCGATCTTGGACTTTACAGCCTCCCAAACTGGGAGCAATACATTTTCTGTTTTTTTTTATAAGCTACCCAGTCTGTGGCCAGACTGCTTTAATAACAGTGCAAACAAGCTACCATCCTGCCTCTCCTGAATCCGTTACTCACCTTAAACCCAAAGTGACTGGCATTTTCCAAATGACCCGCCCCCCTTTTTGTTTTGCTTAAAACCTTTCAGCAGTATCCCATTGCCCCCCAAATAAAACTTTTTACACATCTAGACAGCCCTGCAAGACCTGGTCTTTGCTCCTGTCTCCAGCTTCATCCCCAGTCCTTTTACCCAGTGCTCACCACACAGGCTGGAGCACCTCCCCCTTCTTCCACTGCGGGGCCTTTCCACTTCCTTTCTCCTCTTAACACTGCTTTTCACATAGCTCACTCTTTCTCATCTTTCAGGTCTTAGCTTGAATGCCCACATCTCAGACGGTCTTGCCTAATCACCTGTCCAAAGCATTCGACCCTCCAACAGACGCACACAGGTGCTCTCAGAGTGCTCTGTTTATGTCATAGCCCCGTCATAAATGTAACATAGAGTTATTACGTGTCTATACCTTAATTCCTGTTTCCCACTAGAATGTAAGCCTCGTGAGAGCAGGGGCCTGGACATTCTTGCACACGGATATATTTCTAGTGCTTGGCCTAGTGCCTGGCACATCATAGCTGGTTCGTATTTGTTGAATGACTCATCATGTTCTTTACAACCTAGCCTGCTTCTATTATATAGGCTTGGAGAAGCATGATTTTATCTAAATCCATGAAATAATAAAGCATGTCTTAAACGGGTTGATGCATTCCATTGTTGCCCTAAGTGCTGTGACTTCTTAGTTCTGGGAGGAAGGGTCTCTGTTGTCTGTTGTCACAGGACACTAAGTAAATTGCCAATGTGGCCTTCGTAACTAGAAGTAGTGAGGGAAAGGCGATCCCACTAACAGCCATCCGCATGCTCTCAGACTCAATATCCTTCATTCCACATTTTGGCATATTGATGTCCCAGGTTTTCTAGACCACTCTGATACTCTCCTTGTTTTCTTCCAATTTAGAAAAATAAAAGAGGTTTCTGATTAATGTTATGTAATGCAGTAGCTGTTTTAGGTTATCGTGGAGGTCAGAACTGTTAGAAGTAGCAATTATCCAGCTTAGATTAAAAGGGGAATTTGCTGGAATAACTGGGACCACTCAGGTAATTCAATACTCATTCAACAGACGTATAGAGGAATAGACATAAATACAGACACAAATGTAGATTTACCTACCTACTTGTTTAATCTGGCACACTTTACTTGCTGGGTTCTGTGTTCAATTTTAGATTTTCAATAGTGGGCGAAATCAGCAAAGGATAGAAGCCAAACAATAGAATGCAGGAACGGTAAGAATGAAGCATAGCGGGAACTGGAGACTTGAATGGGCATAGGACTTTGTACCCTCTGATGTTGGTAGATCAGCCTCATTTTGTCTCAGGGAATACCATGTCTTTCATGGGGCAACCAACAAAGTTACCACCTGTCTTAAATTCACATTACAGCTCCCACCACCAGACAAAGGCTACCTCACACACTTTCTTGCATCAAATTTTAAAATCCTGGGAGGGTCTCTGATGCCCTAGCTTGAAAAATATCCACCCCAGCCAACAGGTCAGAGATGTTTTAAAAACACGGCAGCTTCTGGGCATTTCATGTGTGGAGGGAAGGAGTAGTTTCCAAATCAAGGGGATGAGGGGGAGCCAGGTCTACTCTCCATCCCACAGCTTTCTAACACGATCATCTCCATAATTAAACACATGAGTCAAAAGCATAAACAAAAGGCAGGCTGGGATAGAAAACAGTAATTAGAAGACCAAAGAATGTTATCATATACAGAGCTTTGAAACACCTCTGAGGTGTAAAGTTTTAGGCCTAATTATGAGAAGCTGCAAGTTATAAGAAGGATGCAGTTATCTTGGGACATCAGACTTACATAAGTATGATTCCTTTTCAGGGTAATAGTAAACAACAGGTCTTTTAACACCTGAGGGATGGAAAACAGACTAGTGATCTCTGATGACGAGACTCAGTATTTAGGTTTCTCTAGCTTTAACGTACTTCTTCACCAGTGGATGGCTCCAGGTTCTCATATGCATTTTACAGGAGAAAACCCCACTAGATTATTTCAAGTAGAAATAAAGTATTGTGACCTACTTAAAAGTTCCCTAGAGCTGCAGGGGGGAAAAAAGACTGCCTACTGCTTGTGAGTGCAAAGAAACAGACAGGCTGAGATCAATAGAACGCTTTTACAGCATCAGTGCAGAGGAAGATTTATATAAATTTAATTGAGTTCACCTTGAATAATCCATGAAAAGAAATAGCGACAATGCTTCAGTCTCAGACCAGGTCTTGTCAGGCCCATACCCATGAGAGTGGATTCTGATCTGAGTTTACATCGATGTGTATAGTCTCTACTGATATTTGGCTAGTGAAAATTTAAAAGTAGATTTTCTAAGCATCATGCATGGCAAGGGGAAGGATATGAGCTTTTGGAGACACTGATCTGTTTAATAAATGGAAGTAGGGCTGACAGTCCTAATGGAATGAGAATGTGCTATGGTTAATTGTACACCATTAGCAAACTAGAAGGAAGGGGAGAAACCAAGAACGTGAACCTTATTCTCTAAGGAGCTGCACTTCTTGACAGGAAATAGAAAAGGGGAGCTGTGCTCTCTCTCTCCACGTAGTACATAAGCATTAAGGCTCTGCAGTCACACTGACTGACTTTGAAACCTGACTGCCTTGGGCTTATCCTCCCCACACTTTACTCTTCGGGGGAGGCTAGAGCTCATGACAGCTCCTTTCTCAGAGGGGTGATATGTGAGGGCGCGATCATGCACGTGTAAAGTACTTACACTACATGTGACACTTAGTCCTTATTAAAAGTTAATTTTTCTGTTATTGCTGATTATCAGTAAGTCAGCCACTGAGCAATCATTTATTTGGCATCTTCAGACTAGTGATCTCTGTCAAGCCTTGGAAATGGAATAATTTTCCTCTTTTCTATTCTAATAACATTACTGTATTTAAACAATAAAAATGCTATTGTGCAATAATTTGGCACAAGTTACCATCTGTATTAATTTTCTTTTTTTAATATTAATTTTCTAAGAATTTCTTCCAAAATAGTTGCTATTGTTCTCTTAGAAGACCAATCCTGTGTTTATGTAAATATACCATATGTGTAAGTACAGGGACCTGGAACGTTTAGAAGCTCAAGAGACAGGATTCAAGGCCTCTAAAAACTATTTTTATATTACATTTTTACATCTTCATCATTCTCAAAACTGGCTCTGAAAACATGACACAGCTATATTCTTGTGTACATAACTTGCTCATAGTTTATCATTATTAGTATTCTTTGCTCAGTTACATTTATAAAAATATAAAAATACATACTGAGCAT